GAATGGCATGAAAGCTGGGACGCATTCAACAGCTACATGGGCGAGTATCAGGAGAGGACACACCAGCTCTTTCGACTCCGTAGTTCGACGTCGGTGGCCCGTCGTAACACGGAGATCAGAGCTATTGCTGACAACACATCGGGAGAGACGTCCGATTCACCGCCCTCGCTTATCCCAGATGAATTCAAAACCTATTGGATGAAACTTATCTGCACGCACGGATGGCGTCGAAAAAGTCGCAGTACTGGTCAACGAAAGAGCTACTTCGGCAAATCGGAGTGCAAGGCGGATATCAAGGCTGCTGTGACGTGGAACAGAGATAAGCAGAAATTCATGGTGCGCGTTACTGGCTACAGCATCAGCCATAATCATTGCGTCGACCGAGCTGTGTACGAGAACCATTCGTCGGTGCGGCGTGTCGAGGATCCAATGCTACTTGCGTTCGTGGACGTGTCGCAAGCGTCGGGTTCGAAACCCAAGCGGATCATGCAGTTTCTGCGCAAGAAGACGGGTACGTATACATGACTTTCGTCTTGCTTTAGCTTCTATTTCTGATGAATCCGTTTATAGGTCAGAACGTGACGCTCCGTGACGTCCACAACATGGTTGCCAGAATGAGAGAGAAGCGGCGCGGTTCCAGAACCGTAGAGCAGCGACTTGAATCTCTAATGCGGGAATTTTGTGGACGGCGAGGTAACCGAGCTTCTGTGTTTGTTGATGACGAATCTTTGGCGCAGACAATCACGCTGCAGACGCGCCAGATGCGTCGCTGGTTCAAGGCTTTTCCGGAGGTGCTGTTGATCGACGCGACGCACAACATGAACGACTCGAGGTACAAGCTATTCTCGTTCATGATACATGATGTGTACGGCCATGTAAGTCTACGTGTCTAGAGGTACCTGTTGGTGACTATAGACACGTAATGTACAAGAGTTACCTCAGATGTACCTGTAGGTACCGAAAGGTACTAATGTTACCGTTGCGTGCCTAGGGTCAGTATGTGCAGCACAGCCTAATGATAAATGAGAGTGCGGAGTGTCTTACCGATGCGATCGAATCTTTCAAGTTTTCAAATCCGTCGTGGGAGGAGATTCGTGTCATCGTGATCGACAAAGATATGGGTGAGCTGAGCCTTTTGAAGGTGCACTTTCCAAACGTTAAAGTGATTCTCTGTCACTTCCAATCTCAAGAAATACATCCGGTCGGAGATGTCAAAGAGTGAGTACGGAGGGCCAAGCAGCTTCGACATGGATCAAGTAGAAGACGCAGTGGATATGATGAGAACAGCAACCACAAGTGAAGATTACACAAGGTATCTCAAGTACCTGTATTTCCTCTTGGATAACGTTCAGTTACGCTCTACGGACGCGATCCCAGACCCAAAGCACCCGTTTCTCCGTTATTTTATGAAGAATTGGGACCAACAGAAGGAGCGTTGGGCTCTCTACGCCCGTTTAGACGTACCGCATCTTGGAAATCATACAAATAACCGGTAAGAATTTATGGAGTTAAGCCTTCTGCATTTAATTTGACGCTAACGTTTGTGTGTTATGCGATAGCTTGGAGGCATCGTGGGGGCATCTTAAGGAAATCCTGAAACCTGAGATGCCTCTTGACAATTGTGTGGATACACTGATATTTCTGCAGGCAGTTGCAGAGATGGAATACAGTAAAAATATGACAGCTGTGGGTTACATGCGATAGCTGGAGCGACTTTCACAGGAGGTGAGCCCACACGCCTACCGTCAGATTGAGCAACAGTACTGGATTGCAAAGGACCGAGCTACCCACTACGAGGTCACCGAAGTGACGCCCAACATGTTCACCGTATCGTGCGGCAGCGACAATAACGCCTATCATGTCGATACGTCGGTAAGTTTTATAGTTGATGCTAGCAATATTTATCTTAATTATTGACTAATTGTCTTTGTATTGGTACGAATGATAGGTATATCGCTGCTCTTGCGTTTTCATGCGTACCACGCTTCTTCCTTGTCGTCACGTCATGTACTGGAGACTGAGCAATGGTAAGAATGTAATTCCGATTCGGCACATTGCTCAGCGATGGAGATTGTCGTGTAAGCTGAATCAACCTGCTGAAGAGGAAGACGCCCCCCAAGATCAGATCGCACGCAAGTCCTTCCAAATCCGTGAGTCGATGATGGTGTCAAGCAAACACAAGGTTCTCAATGGCACCATTAAATTCAGTAAGGCTTGTCGACGCGGTACTCAGATCGCTGACATTATGAGCCGTAATGGTACAGCAGTCTTCAATGAGATGCTGGCAGCGTTGGACAAGTTTGAGGAGATCATCAAGGACGGGGTTGCACCGTTCGTGGGTCGTGAATGTCAATGGATTGACCCACTTTCTCAGTTATCGATTTCTTCGTACGACCTACCTTCTGCTGTCGATGCAAGCGGCACCGCAACATCCGATCAAGAATTGGATCCTGTTTCCCCCAAAATTCGCGAACAAAGTCCTGAATGTGACTATTCTGATGACGTGCCGCAAACACACCCACACCTGTGCGACTCTATGGATACTGAGACTACAACTACAGATGCTGTGCCAGGGAGTATTAATACCGTGACGTCAAATATAACTGGAGTGGCTACAAGTACCACAGGAACACCTCCAGTGGCTTCAGGTACCAGCGGAGTGGCTGCAGGTACCACAGGAGAAGCTGCAGTGGCTACAGGTACTGATGGAGTGCCCACAGGCTCTCAGAAGGGTTCATCTGTACCTACGGTGACTGAGGATACCAATCGCGCAAAGGATGTAGAAACGGTGCCAACAAGCATCCTGTCGAAGCGACAACCCACAAGCTCGGCTAGCGAGAACTCTGACACATCTACACCGGCGACATTCAAGATCAGTAAAAGTGCGAAGAGCCGTGGGCGCCCTAAAGTGCGAAAACAGCAGAAAGTGTCCGGGAAGAAGGAGCGCATGACTCGTGGAAAGGAAAAGGCGACAAAATTAGTTCAAGGAACAATGGTGCCTGTGCCGAGCCTAAATGATCTCGTCAAACTTCTGGATAGGGACTACAACTACATTGATATCAAGTCGTCGACGCAGTCGCTCTCGGAACGATCGGTCCCACAATCTAAGAAGGCTATTGCTGGAATTTTCACATCCGAGGAGAGCGAAAAGGACATTCGCTACATTTTCCCGCAGTGGTTTGTGACGAAAGCACAGAGTGCTATTCAGCAGTTTCGGAAAGCCGTACCTGTGGTCTGTGGCGAAGATGGCGTAGGAGTACGAGTACCTCGCTTTGGTATCTATCAACTAAGGGATATCAACGCGATGGAGATATCAACGCGATGAATCTCTGGCCCGGTGCTTTAAAGTGCATTACAGACGTGGAAGATACTGTGGTTTGGGCTGTCAATACCAGCAACAAACGGTTGTCATTGCCAGATGAACTTTTGGACGGCGTGAGTGATGACATCGGTATGCGTGAGCAGAAAATCAAGACATTATTATTGCGCGGAGGACCGCGTACACCGTTTGGTTCTCTATCGTCGCTCTCGCTACTCACGTTACGTGGAAATAAATGGTTAGATGATGCATGCATGGCTCAAGGGCTGGTACTACTTCAAAAGGAAAACACCAAAGTGGGAATTATCGATCCGATATTTCATCGGTTTCACGACCGAGAAGATAAACTACGCGTTATACGCAGTGGTACTCCTTTTGATTCCGCCAATCAGCTGGTATTGATGGGGTTATACGTGGATAACAATCACTGGTGTGGGATTGTGTTTGATTTTCGCCCTGAAACCAGATCAGTCACGATATTCGACCCATTGCAAGCTACGAAGACCAATTATTACGGCATGTGCGATGATTTACTAAAGGATCTATTCGGAGAATTGCGTGCCAACATGAGGCTCAAGAAGGAAACCAAGCCACGCCAGCCAGATGGAGCCAATTGCGGCGTCATGGTACTCCTCTTCTTTGAGTGCTACATTCGTGGTATTTCTATGCCCAACAAGCCAGGCCCCGCAATGTTGCGCTTTATGCGGCTGCGCTATCTACTGAAGTGTATATAGTAGCGCTCTTGCAGATGATAGCACTATGTTTACCTTTCAGTACAAAACACAATTCGTTGATATCTCACGTGTCCAGTATCATTTACAGGAATAAACTGGTAAGACGAGTTAATGACAGCTCATCAGGGTAGCCGTTTGCTCTTTGAGATAAGTAGGAGCACTGTAACTCATCGGTGGCATTTCTTCAAATTGGAAACTCCATAGTACAAGTGACGCTCGAAGCTCTTATACAAGCGGCCTAAAATCTCCCTTATAGGCGCCCCATAAAATGGGTTGGAAGCCAATGTCCAAAAAATCACTAAGCTATCTGTACATTCGATCAACATTCACAATGTGTTTTATAAACTGTGCAACCTTCGCGTAACACCTTGTATTTCAATTTACCACCACCACTCATCGCAATCTCTAAAATTTAGGAATTTTTTTAAATGTATTCTTTTATATTACCCCCCTTTTCTGAATTCGGTTCTTGCACCAAATAAAGTGCCTTAAGGCACGCAGGTGCCTATGGTGCCGCTCAGTGGGTAACACGACGCCCCGATTATGTACACTCGATTCAGTGCCTGCAACAACGGTCTTAATAAAATCATTTCATCTCAGAAGAAATGATTAGGTGTTTTTTTATATTAACTGGTCAACACGTGATATTTTCACAATATTAGCCTCACCGATTTTGGAGTTATTAGTACTATTAACTCCTCAGGTTCTGTGCAATTCCTCTCGCATTTTTTGCAGCATGCTTTGCCCTGAACTATAACACTGAGACCCAAGCTCTAACACCGGAGTTGCGCCCTTCGTCATTATCCCATGGCCAGCCGTGGGCATGACTGGACGTGGGCGTCCAAGCATGTTTTTCATCGTTGGATGGCTACCGTACCGTAGCCGCTACGACACCACTCGACGCACTCCATGGTACACTCACTTCGCGTTCCACCATCGGATCCACCATGACAAAGGAAACTTTCTTTACGCTTGAGGACATCAAGATTTCCTTTAACCTCTTTTGCTGCGTCTGTGGCATCGGCACGCTCGGTCTGCCGGGCAACTTTGCTCGTGCAGGCCCCGTGTTCGCAAGTATTGCTATGGCTTTTATGGTGTTCGCTAACGTCTACGCGTCGATTGCAATGTCCAAGGTGATGCTGCTTGCGCCGTCGACTGTGGTGACGTTCGGTGACCTTGGCGAATGGGCCGTGGGCAAGACTGGTCGCTGGCTATGCACAGGCTCCCAAATCATTTCGTGTGTCTTGATTCCGTGCGTCTTCCTGGTACTCGGCGGTGAATTGCTGGACGGGATGTTCCCAGGTGCGTTCAGTCCGACGGTGTGGATTATCCTGATGGCTACGATGGTGCTGCCGTTGTGTCTCGTTCCGACGCTGAAAGAAGGTTCCGGTGTTGCGTTTGCCGGCTGCGTGGGAACACTTGTAGCTGACGTGATCGGCGTTGCAGTTGTGATGCACGGTATGCGTGGCCATCCTAGTGTCCCGGAGACGAAAGTCAGCTTCTCACAGGTGGCCGGCACGTTCGGCAACCTCGCTCTCAGCTACGGCGCCGGTATCATCATCCCCGACTTGCAGCGCGAGCACAGCGAGCCGCAACGCATGCCTCGAGTTATCACCTTCACCATGGTGATCATCTCGGTCCTGTTCGTCGTGCTCTCCGTCGTGCCCTTTACGTCCGCTGGCTGCCAGATCTCGGGCAATATCTTGTATACCATTTACCCGGACTCTAGCACAGGCCTCACGTCGCTGGGCTTTAAACCCCACTGGGGCGCCGTCGTGCTCGCCTACATGGCGATGCAGCTCCATATCACCACAGCCTTCTCTGTCCTCATCAACCCGGCGTTTTACATGGCGGAGTTTGTGATTCTTGGCATGCACAGACAGCGCAAGTCGACTGATGTCGAGAACGGACTCGAGTACGCTGAGTCCACGACCCCAGCGGATGAGATCATGAAACAGGCGAACGTCGTGGCCGACCACAAGTGTCATTGCACATGTCACGGTGAGACTGACGCCGAGACGACCGAGTACCGCGGCGCCAACGCCATCAAGTACATCGTACTGCGCACCTGCATCACCGTGATCCTCGTTGTGTTGTCCATCCTGTTTAAGGACCACTTCTCCGATTTTGCTGATTTCGTGGGCTCGTCGTCGTTGACCATGAGCTGCATTCTGCTGCCGGTGGCTTTCTACCTGATCAAGGCTTGGAACAACATTCCCAAGGTGGAGAAGATTGCTGCCATTGTCGTATTTGTGGTTTGCCTCGTTTTCGGATGCTACTCGACGTACACGGCTGGCAGGAACCTGTTCGCTCCATCTGACTCGGAGGCTTCGTTCCCGTACTGCGAGCTTGAGTACCAGAACACCGTATTTTACAACTCTACGGCTGAGCACGAGACTTGAACACACCGTGTCGAGCTCCAAGCTTCAAGATATACATATATGTAGCTGTAGCTCATAAATAAGTCCCGTATGCTCCTGGTATATTTTGGTGCCAAGAACTGCGAATCAGTTTGCATACTTGTACAAATCATCAGATGTCCATATTTCAACCAATCATATGGATCTTAAAAGCGACATTTAATTACCTTTTAAGATCGTTTAGGTGATAGATAAATTTTATCGATCACCACGAGGTTTCTTTCTGAAAAGCCTAACTGGTATTTCTAATCAGGACTACTTCGTACTACCGAATTCCCTTAGTTATCACGTACTACTAGCCGAGTGCCGCCGCTACGCGGCGGTAGTTTAGGTTTAGTTCTACTTGTTTTGGCCTTCCCGCCTCCGCTACGTTTCGGCGGGATAAATATTAAAGAAAGGCTAAGCCTCGATATTTTTAATTCATTAATTTGGGTCAGTATCATGCATACCTGATGAAAAATAATTATTCTAATGATCTTCACTCATGATTCTTACTACATGTACAATTTCTTTAATATTGTTGGTTATCACTGTAATCTTCATGTTCCACCCAAAACTACCTGCACTTTAAATTACATTTATACAAACGCTACACAATATGTAACGGGGTACGTAGCCCTAAGTGTACCCTGGTTACATGAAGTGTGACACTTCACACTTCAGGTGTATGACACGTCATACTCCGGGATATTTGGTACAAGGTACCAAGGTCGTTCAAAGCCAACCATTGGTCAAACGACATTGCATTTCTATAGGTTACTTATAGTTTGTATTAAACCCAAACTTAACCTACCTATAAATATACTCAGTTTACAATCTACCTTATTTAGGTCACTTCGCTCTCTTTCAATAAAGAGGGGACCTGTGAACTGCCGTTCACTGAGAGTTTGTATACTCTCGGAAGATAACTTCCTCTAGCGCAAGGTGCTGTGTGACCCCGTCACACTTGGTAGCACTAGTAGTCAATCCACGCCACCGCGGGTAGACTACCTGAACCTCTCCGAAGTTTGTTGCCATGATAGGAACGACTTCTCCCATATACACGACTCTCAGTTCGAGTCGGTTCGGAAGATGGCAGGCATCTTCGGGATGGAGGCCCTGCAGAGCCTGGTGGTATCAACACCGGCTGAGCAGCTCGAGCGCGTCAATGCATTCGACGCGTACGAGCAGGGCCTCATCGCGCATGTGCGGGAGAACCTGCAGGCTCCGGCGGCGGAAGCAAACCCGCCTCACCCGAAGCCAATACGGCTGAAGGTAAAGCCGTATGAAGGGAAGGAAGGCGAGAACCTTCACTTCTGGGTCCGAGAAGTAGAGCTCGCGATGGACGCGGCTCTGATCTCGACCGAGCAACTGCGTGTTGCTTTTGCACTCTCCAACCTTAGCGGTCGTGCTAAGAGTTGGGGTGTACACTCGGGGAAGGCGACATCCCCTGGATGTTTCACATCCTGGGCTCAGCTGTGCGAACAGCTTCCGAGCCGCGTTCCTCCCGGCGAACTACGAGTACCGGCCAGCGTTCGCGCTTCCTCGCGTGTA